TATTGTGATCAGCGTGCTGAGGGTCGCGTGGGGGTCTTTGGGTCTTCTTTCTTGTTTGCTTCGGGTCGCTTGGGATCTACTAGCAAGCGATGTTGGCCATTGACCGGGATGTTGAATGCCAGTCTGCTAGACAGACACCCTTTCGTTTGGTGCATTCTACTTCTCCTCGGAGTTGGCAAAAAACCATTGGTAGCATAGAGGCATAGACACATTGCCGTGACTTTGTTGTTCGCATGGCACCTCTGGCACAGAATTCAATACCTTACATCATAGAAGGGTTGACCATTTTGCCCAATCAGCTTTGCAGGAAGAGAAAAGGAAAGGTCTGATCCTTGAGCCGCTTCAAACGGAAACATTCATTCCGATTGCTTCTTCATGTTTTGGGCTCCCCACGAAGCAATGCGCGAACATGTCTCATGTGTATTGTCAAAGTAGCTGACCTATTTTGCCCAAGCACAAGCCCTAGCCAAGCGCATTGGATGGTGTTCCGAGGCAATGGCATCGCACCTGCAGAAGCCCTGCAGCAGATGCCCCCACAGCTCTTGGAGGCCCAACATCCACCGGGTGTGTTGTGTTTTCAACAAACTCCCGGAGTGATCCAGACATTTTTGCTCGAAAACAATTTGGTAGTCTTTCAGTATTGGCTAATGACATCTAATGACCACTTGCTCTTTTCCCAAGCATTCTTTACCCTAGTTTATACCCTAGCCTATACCTGCTACTCCAGCCTGTTAGATGCTCAGATGGCTTGTGTCACATCGTTCGGCTGATTTGTTATGCCAGTTTCTTCGATCTCACATGCACAGCTCCCTCCCTCCTTCCCTCCCTGCAATCATGCCTGCCTGCCTTCCTGCCTTCTTGCCTTCCTGCCTTCCTTCCTTCCTTCCTTCCCCAGCTCCGTGTTGATTCTACTGCCTCTGAAGCCTGCCCGCTTAAGGTCTGCCCTTTATTGCCAATTTTTGCTCGGCTGCGCTTCTGCTTGGATCCTCCGTGTTCTTGACAGGACACTGGCACTTTCCTCTTCTTGCTCCAATTGTAGATGCGTCGGCACTTCTTTTTGGAGCCAGTGCCAGAGTGCTTCTAATCATAAGCACTCGTTATTTGAGCAACTCTTTTTCATGTCAGGTTGTCACACGTTTGAACAGCCCACATCTCAGTGTCCCAAGGAGTTTGAGGGTGGAACATGGCTTTCTGTCTGAGACACAACTCCTTCCTGAGGCCCTTCTGGACCGAAGTTTGGGCCGCAATTCTCTGAGCCCTTCCTGAGGCGTGACAGGGCGGACATTGGGAATAAAATTATCCGGGCAAGAGACCCCAAACAGTGTGTCTAAAGGTCTAAGGTCTAAAGGTGTAGAAGCAGAAGGTCTAGACCAGAGATCTACAGCAGATGTATTGGGCTCCAGAGAGAGGTGATGATGGTGATGATGGTGGTGGTGGTGGTGGTGGTGGTGGTGGTGATGGTGACTTTGGAAAACGAACCACATGTCCCAAGGTCACGATTCACTGTACCTGCCACGAAATCAGAGCGCCCCGAAGACTTTGAAGACCACCATCGTGTCCAAAGTATTAGTCTGCCACGAAATCTGCACATCGAAGTAAAGCCGCTCGAAAAGCCGACTTTGGACCTCCAAAGCACGAGATTTCCGTTGCGCCTACCACGAAAAGTGACCACGAAGCCCGGAAATGTGCACGTCACCACAACGAGAGCGCAGTCGAGAAGAGCACCCGCGCCAACCCACCAATTTCTGCAAGCCTGCGCAGTCGATGTGCACTTCGAAGATCTCGAGGTCTCGAGGTCTCGAGGTGAATGAAACGAATTAGCCACAAACGCCGATGAGAACCTCCGATCAGAACCCGGCCTTAACCACTAACGTAAAAACCCCTAGTGTGGCCACACTGTTTGGGGACACACAAAAATATATAGAAGGCAGCAAAGCGGTACTGAATCGCCATCGAAAGTAATCTTGGCCTAAGTGAGAACATGTCATCGACATCGGCGTGAGGCTCCTGGGTTCAAGCGGTAAAGCCCGAGACAAGAGGCTGGTGGAAATGGCCAATCAAGAAGTGACTCTTGGCCATAGTGGGTTGAAGCTCTTGGATGAAGATGAACAAGGGGTCAGTTTGATAGAGGGGTCTGATTCAGGGAGGCTTGACCGATTCATGTGCACCACTCTGGCACTTTCTCACCTTTGAGGAAGAGTGCTCAAGCACGGGTATCAATCAGGGAGCTCCTGAATTGAAAGCTGAGCTGGTTAAATTCGGATGTCCTCCTTCAGGGCCGTTTGCCACCATTTCTGGGCCCGGATGTGGTGGGACGGAGAGGATCTTAATGTTGGAGATAGGAACGATCTCCTCCAACAGTGCATTGCATTTGCATGCGACTTGTCCAGAAGAATTCAAGGGCCGTCCATTTATGCGTGATCAATAGCGGTTTTATCTCCATTGGGCTGTGTTCCTCAGACTCTCATGTCTTCCTTCGCATGGAGTAGCTGCTTCGGCGACCCTTGGTTAAGACTTGTTTCCAGAGACAAGCAGTGTTGGCAGGGCTGCTGCCAAGAAAGCACAAACTCAACATTGGCGAACCTCCCGCGGTTTATGGGGTTTTGACATTACTAGATGGTTTGCCACAAACAGTGTTTTGCTCAAATCTGGTTTCTTTTTGGAGACTGCTTTGGTTGCGCTGTAATGGCTGGGTCATTCCGTGCGAGTGATAGCGATGCGCTTGAGCGGCATCTCAAATCAAACAGCGTCGAACCATGCATAGTAGTCTCGTGAGTCTTTAGTTTATAATGTATATATACACACACACTGTATTCATACCTTTTTTCCCAGTCGCGTCAGCACCAAGACACCTCCATCGTATCAAAGGAGCCGATCAGGCGAACAGCTACGGGCAGTTTGAAGCTTCCTGATAGCTGTCATCGTGCCGGATGTGTTCAATCGTTTCGGGTGCCGCTATCGGTCATTGGACCAGGTGCCCGTTGTTTCAATCCCTGCATCAGCAGATCGAAAGGTGTGTAACCTTTCGGAGCCAGAGCAGCTCCATTTCTCGAGTTGATTTGGAAAGAGTCTACGCCTGCTGCAAGTTAAGGAACCTGGGTGGAAATGATCCCACCAGCCAGCACATTATCATGGAGCTACAAGCAATGTGCACAGAAAAGTTTTAATTAAGTCAGAGGACAATTAAACCTAATTAATCCATGTTCATACATGTTCATGCAGCTTAGATCAATTCATGCGTCAAGATGCAGCAGGCGTGAATGCTTCAGTTCGGGTGAATTCAACACTTCAGAGTCCAACAGAGATGAACGCCACAGATGGATCCCACACGGTTTCTTTTGGCGAACGCCTTTTGCTGTCCAACTCGGCAAAGCAATTCTATCCAACGTGAGAGCTGAGAGTGACTGGGCTCTGAGGTTGGGGGCAATGATCCACACTTTCTGCAAGGAGAATCTCATTGCATTCAACTGTCATTTGTGGATGGCAGAGTTTTGGACTGCCCCGAACTTTCATCTTCCACCAGATCCTGCAAGATCAGGTTGAAGCAGACCCTTTCCTCCAGAAAGTGGAGATGTCCATAGTCGGCGTGCACCATGCACCGTAGAGAACTCTGGCGCCAGGGTGCCTGGCGGATGGCCTGAATGTGCAGGGCAGTGTGGCAAATTGACATTCAAGGAACCCGAGGTTCTGAGAGCTTCTTTTGTTTTTTCCTCCCTATATATTAAGGTTGGCCATCGCTATTAGGTTGGCGGCCATAGCTAGTACTAGTGGTCCCTCACTCCCTCCCTCACTCCCTCCCTCACTCACTCACTCACGCTCGCTCGCTCGCTCATTCTCATTCTCATTCTCATTGATCTCTCACGCGCCGGTCCGTATTTGAGGCCAACTCAGACTAGGTGCAGCTAGAATCAGAAACTCGGCTGCGGTGAGGTTGGATTATGTTGGGATGTGCGTCAAGACATGTCTTTCTGGGACTTAGATGAGCTGTGAGAAGGGTGGGGAAGAGCAGAAAGTCTTGGAGATAAACAAATCACAACAGAAGATGGGTTTAAGGAAATCTTCACGCGACTGGGCTTACAGCAGGATGTTGGTTTTTTGTTCCACAGGAAGAGCCTTCAAGCAGTTGGGGTCTCCACATCGTCACCTCACCAAGTAGCTACCCAGCAACCGAGTCGGCGAGGCACCCAGCAACGCCCCGCTTTGACGGTGGCCGGACCGCTGGAGAGTCGCCCAGACCGTCCCTCGCACGCACCACGCAGAACAACATGAAGGCAGAGCGGATCATAGGTTTTGAGTTGAGATTGGGATTGATGTCCTGGCAATTTTGCAATATGGAGTCTTTGGGCGACTTCACATGGCACTTTGTGTTGCCGGTCATGCTCAAGCAACTGGTGTCCATGCTCAAGCAATTTGTGTTGGTTTTCTCGTGGTTGGCGGATGTGCTTGACATTTTGAGGGCGAGATGATGCGAGTGCCAACATGGAGCAAACTACCAGTATTGCTGGCTTCATTGGGTAGTAGCATCAAGAAGCTACTATATAGTAGCAAGTGCATCTCTCAACCAGGGCATTACTACTAGTAACTTTCTTACCTGTCTTCAGTCTTTACAGCATTTGACGTCTCAAGTTCTCAAGAACATCACCCCTTAAGTGACCACGGCGCCTTCAGGCTGGCAACGGTGGCCGGCCTAGAGGGGCTGGATGTCGCGCAAGTGAGCGTTGAAGAGAGACCGGCATCGTGCAAGACCGGTTGTGCAGAGATTGTGAGTGCTTAGAATGACACTGGACCAAATACAGCATAGTTTCATGCATTCGGCCATAACATGCACAAGTTCGCTTGATGCCTTTTTCCAAACTGGATTACACGATCAACCAGACCGGGCTTGAGAAAGGGCTTGCAGCGGCTTTTGTGAGGACACGCGTGTTGTCAAAATTGAGAAGGGTAGGGATGCGTTGCCTCAACCTTTACTCCAAACCTTTTCAACTCCGGGCAGTTCATTTTTGTGTGACTCGTTTTCCCTCTTGACCCTCACTCCTAGACTCATAGCCGCTACTCTGCAAGAGGTGGCTCCTCAGTTTGGCTCTAGGTACCAAACTACATATGGACAGAGGACAACGAAATGCCGCAAGAGGGGACGACTGCCACAACTAAGTTGCATGTCTTGCAACTTGGGCATCGCACGCAACCCCAACCTCAATCGTCATAGCACGGGCATTTGATTGAATCTCAACGCAGTTTCAGGGCCATGCCCGGCGCGGATGGATTGTGTGCATCAGCCGCGGCATTCCTCAGGAGTGAGACGCCAAGCCAGCCCTGACCATTTTGATTCCAGGTCAGCTCGACTGAGTTTCACTGAGCACAGATCCTGGGAGACAGAATTCTTTTAACTGGGAGACAAAAGTCTTGAGTCTGTCCAATAGGAGTCTATCCAAGATAAACCCAACCCCTCAACAAACTGTGTCAGTGATTGTCGGTGTGTCAGTCAAACAGGAATTAGTAATCAGCACAAGACAGTGGTTCCAGGCCAGCCATTCGCGACACGGTGCGAAGATCGCGGCTTGCTGCTGTGGAAGCGGAGGAGGATGTTGCAGTGAAGCTGGTTCACAGGCCGAGTCCACTTTCAAGTGCAAGGGCGGCCAACGTGGAAGCCTCATGTGTCACACACACCCTCAAACACGTTTTTGTGGGAAATGCATACTTTGGCAGGCTTACCAGCCAATCCCCGCCCTTGCGAACACCGCGGGCCTCTGGGGGTGTCAAGAATCGCCTGCAGGAGGAATGTCGAGTGGATTCAGTTCGTGAAGGGGTTCCGTTAGAATGTTCGCCAAGAATTAGAACTAGACATCTATATATATATATATAGACATCTAGATTCTGGCCAGTACTCAGTAACCCACGGCACTTCAAGACCCTTTTCTTGAAGTGCAAGCTTCGTGGCAATGACGGGCAACAGAGAATTAGGGTTTGATTCGGAGAGGGAGCCTGAGAAACGACTACTACATCTAAGGAAGGCAGCAGGTGTGCAAATTACCAGGGAGGTAGTGACAAGAAATAACAATACAGGGCATCCATGTATGGCTTTGCCAAACCCAAACATGCACCTTCGCGTTGCCTTGGCCAGGAGCTTCAAACGCCAGAGCCCATTGCCCGGGTAGAAGTTGGCCACCGCGAGGCAGGCTGTCCTGCCAGATCTAGATTTGCGATGTTGCCACATCTTCGGAGGAGCTCTTTAGATCGGGTGCAAGGGAACGCACTCCTGTGCATCAGTATGTCCGTTTGTCCAGATGGTTTTGCAATTGCTGAGTGCAGGGTCTACAGAACAGGCTACAGCAGAATTGGGTGACTTCATTTCAGGTTGGAGGCCATTGCTAGTAGGTTGGAGGCCATTGCTTCTAGGTTGGAGGCTATCGCTATTAGGTTGGAGGCCATCGCTATTAGGTGGGGGGCCATCGCTATTAGGTGGGAGGCCATTGCTATTTGGTTGTAAAACATTTTAAGAAATGCAGACCTTAAAAAGTGCAGATACAAACGAGTGGTGCAGACCTTTGCCTCAATGCTGCTGGCCAAATTGGCCGTGGGCGTAGCAGAGAAAGGAACAGAAGTTGTTAAAGAGACCTTTACCATCCTTTACCATCCTTTTTCTTCCGCAATTCTGGCAAATTTGGTGCTTGCTCCAAGATTCAGAGCCAGTACAGGTGGAGGAACCAATTGTACAGCTGAAGGTGGGCCGAAGTTTGTAGTTGTGTGTTCTTTGCAAGCCTTGAAAGAAGCAAGAAAAAACGCCTTAGAGGGAACTTCACCACTGAAGCGTAGAACACTTGCTCATTTTGTCAGCAAATGTTCGGCACCCAGACACACCAGGATGTTGAAGCATTGCTGGCTGACTTCACGGACGAGCTGCTTTGCAGAACATGACGTCGCCATGACGCTTGATTTGTTTGAGCCATGGGGCTATGCGATTAAACGCTCCTCGAAAAGTCCAACCTTTTGGATTTTAAGACAATTTTTTAAAATCAGAATAGAGATTCATTCAGTCATTTGTTTGTGCTTCCTAATTTTTTGAGGTTGTGCAGCTTGGAGGCCGGTGTGGCGCTGTACTTCTCCCAGCAGTCGCAAGAAGTGCAGCGCCTCAACGGTGAGTTGCAGGTGCGAGTAGAAAAGCTGACAAGCAAATCCAGAACGGAAGGACATCAACTTTCAAGATATTTGAATCATATCTAAAGTTTGAAGTCTAAATGAACAAAAGAAAAGTACCACCTTGCAGCTTAAAGTTGCTCTTAGCCGTTCTGTGTCACCAATGCTGCCAGGAGTTGCGCTCTGCGTTTGCATCAGGAAGGCGAAACTTCCCTGAAGACTTGTGGGCAAAGTCTGCTTCGGCTGTGCAGGAGGGGTTGACATGACTGAGTTGGGTCAAACACTAACGTGTGGGCTGCCTGATCATCTCTGGAACGCGAATCTTTTCAGCGGAAATTTTTGGATCCATCTCACATGGTGACAGTCTCAACAACTTGGCAATTTTGACATCATTTGCCATCCGTGCGGGCACGCTCACACATGTGCCAAATGTGAGGCCAGCCACTGGGTTGCCGCCGGTGCAGAGGCTACAGCCAAGACCTTCCGACTGCTGGCCGATGCGCAAATGCCTGTGGAGGCTGTGGGTAGGGTCTCAACTGTTCTTTTTTTGGAGACCAGCCAAATATGCTTCTTGGATCCTTTTGGTTTGCCAGTTTTTTGAGGTCCAGATGCCATTGCTTTCAGAGCCTCCTTTTCGAAGCGTAGGCAGGGGATATCAATCGCACCACCAACTTGGCTCCTTGGCGATTTCGAATGCAGGAGAACCCACGACGTCCACGGCCTCCACGTCCGTCCACCTCCTCCGTGATGAAGAATCCTTGATGAATACGGTGCAAGCGCGCATCGCTGAAGTTGCAAGGCTGGGCATTGGGACTGTTTAAGCTCTGTGCGTTTGATTCCAGTTACAGTAGGCGTTGCAATAGCCTGTTTTCTGCAGTGTCTTTGGACTGGAGCTAATTACATAGTGATTACAATGGAATTGAATCATTTTGAACACTTCTCCAAAGTTTCTTGAATCAGTCTTTTCAGGTCATTTACCGGTCAAAGTTCCTGGCCCGGACGTTTTCATGCCACAGTGGAGCTGCGATTTCTGGAGGAGGCAGAGCGATGGTTTGAGAGTGAGTCTGGGAAGCATCTTCAAGCCCTAGAGCTTGGTGCACCAAAGAGATCTTTGTAGATCATTTGCAACAAAGAGCACATCATTTGATTCAAATGATTACCCAGACATGATTCTGGGTCTTTTCTTGTCGGATCCATGCCAACAAACATGGTTTGTGAGCCGACCGACTGCCTGATTTCGATTTCGGATTCTGTTTTGACAGGTCAATTTGATCCAAGAGAGCCTGAGAGAAGTGCGGCGCCAAAGGCAGCGCCGCCACCAGCTGCTCTTGGAGGCTGAACGTGCGAGTATCGGGGACGAGACTTCTGCTGACGATGACTCTGGACATCTTTTTCACCTGAACACTTGCTACAGCAGTAAGACGCTACTAGCAGCAAAGGGCATCGCTACTAAGAGCAAGGACGCTACTAGGGGCTCCTGGCCTTACTACTAGGAGCAAGACGCTACTAGGAGCTTTTGGATGACTTCGCTGGGTGCAGGCAGCTCGAAGCCTCCTTGAAGACCTGGGCTGCGAGCTTGTCACCCCGCAGGCCTGCAGGGCTAAGTGAAGTGTACCTTCGCTTTTGTTCCCCACATTGACGTATGGGGTTTTTGTTTAGTGTTGTATCCCGCCCTCCGCCTCCTCCCGCCCTCCGCTTGCCACCAACCAATTGCCACCAACCAACTGCTCACCAGCCAACTGTCACCAACCAATGTCATCAATCAATTGTCACCAACCAATGTCATCAACCAACCGATTGTCATCAACCAATTGTCACCAACCAATTGCCACCAGCCAATTGCCACCAACCAACTGCTGCCAACAAATTGTCACCAACTAATTGTCACCAACCAATTGCCACCAACCAATGTCATCAACCGATTGTCATCAACCAATTGCTACCGACCAATTGCCGCCCACCAATTGTCACCAACCAATTGTCATCAACCGATTGGCATCAATCAGTTGTCACCAACCAATTGCCACCCACCACTGTGATTTGCGTGGCAGGCGCAGCACTTTGGTGTTCTTTAGGGTTGGATGTACGCCTTGGCGTCGCCCTGGCGTCGCTGGGTCTCCGCCTTTGTGCCGCTGTGATTTGCGTGGCAGGCGCAGCACTTTGGTGTTCTTTAGGGGGTTGGATGTACGCCTTGGCGTCGCCCTGGCGTCGCTGGGTCTCCGCCTTTGCGCTGCTGTGATTTGCGTGGCAGGCGCAGCGCTTGGTGTTCTTCAGGGGGTAGGATGCGCGCCCTGGCGTAGCCCTGGCGTTGCTGGGTGTCCGCCGCTGTGCCGCTGTGATTTGTGTGGCAGGCGCAGCACTTTGGTGTTCTCCAGGGGGTTGGATTGCCACTCACTAAATGCTACCAACTAATTGTTGTCAACCAATTGTCATCAATTCCCACCCACCAATTGCTACCCACCAAATGTAACCCACCAATTGCTACCAACCAATTGTCGTCCACCAACCACCAATTGTCCGCTCCTGTGTCTGGTGAAGTTGTCAACGTGTGGGGTCCTATAATTGCTAAGCTTCCGGAATGTGCACTACAGTAGTAGTCGTCGTCGTCGTCCTCGTCGTCGTTGTCGTAGTAGTAGTAGTAGTAGTAGTAATAGTAGAAGTAGTGGTAGTAGTGGTAGAAGAAGTAGAAGAGGTAGAAGTAGAAGTGGAAGGAGCAGTAGTAGTAGGAGTGGTAGGAGCAGTAGGAGTAGTAGGAGTAGTAGTAGCGGTAGTAGGAGGAGGAGGAGGAGTAGGAGTAGGAGGAGGAGTAGTAAAATTTTTTGTTGGAGAGAGCCTGTTTTTTTTCAACATTTGAAAACATCAAACAAGTCAGCTTAGTACTCATTCCCAAAAGTCATTCCCAAAAGTCAAAGTCAAAAAACGTCAAATCAGAAAGTTGCAGAAAATGATTTCTTTTCTTTACATTTTCCCGGTTTATCATTTTTCCGATTTTTGTTTTGACCTTTTCCGACTTCTATTTGACTTTTCGAGTTGTTTTCTAATGTTGACTCTGTTTTTACGTTTATTTGTCATATTTTGTTTTTGGGGTACTTTTTCGAGTTGTGATCTACTTTTGATTTTTTTGGGGACATGATTTGACTTTTTGACGTTTTTGCCCAAACAGTGTGGTCACACTGAGGGTTCTTACGGTATGTGAAAAGAAGGTGTGCTTAAATCACTGTGCGTCGCGGCCGTGTCCGGCAAGCAGATTTCGTGGCAGGCACAGCGGTTGGTGAACCTCGGAGTGCAGATTTCGTGGCAGGCGCAGTACTTTGTGCTCTCACACGCTCACTCTCTCACTTTCCCGCTCTCACTCTCACTCACACTCGCACTCACACTCACTCTCCCACTCTCACTCACACCCACCTTCACTGCATCGCCTCCATCACCTCTCTGGACCCCAACGCGTCTAGATCTCTAGACTTTCTGCTTACAGACCTCGCAAACACTTTTTGGGGTCTCTTGCCGGGATATTTTGTTTGATTGTTCGTGTTGTGATCTATTCTATTTTTGGATATTTTTACATTTTCGTTTTTTTACTTTTCCATTTAACATGTTCACTTTGATTTTTGAATTTTTTACATCAATGATTCTGGCCTTACCATGACAGGAGTAGTAGTAGTAGTAGTAGTAGTAGTCGTGGTAGTAGTCGTGGTAGTAGTAGTAGTAGTAGTAGTAGTCGTAATTAGAGTGGTAACTAGTAGTAGTAAAAAGTAGTAATTTGTAGTAGTAGTAGTAGTAGTAGTGGTAGTGGTAGTGGTAGTGGTAGTGTAGGTAGTAGTAGTAGTAGTAGCAGAAGGAGTAGTAGTAGTAGTAGTAGTAGTAGTAGTAGTAGTGGTAGTGGTAGTGGTAGTGGTAGTAGTAGTAGTAGCAGTAGCAGTAGCAGTAGCAGTAGTAGTAGTAGTAGTAGCGGTAGTGGTACTGGTAGTGGTAGTGGTAGTGATAATTAGAGTAGTAACTAGTAGTAGTAAAAAGTAGTAGTACGTAGTAGGAGTAGGAGTAGGAGTAGGAGTAGGAGTAGGAGTAGGAGTAGTAGTAGTAGTAGTAGTAGTACTAGTACTAGTACTAGTACACTACTACTACTACTACTACTACTACTACTAGTAGTGGTAGTGGTAGTGGTAGTGATAGTGGTAATTAGAGTTGTAACTAGTTGTAGTAAACAGTAGTAATACGTAGTAGGGGTAGTAGTAGTAGTAGTAGTCGTAGTGGTAGTAGTAGTAGTAGTAGTAAATAGTAGTAGTAGTAGTAGTAGTAGTAGTAGTAGTAAATAGTAGTAGTAGTAATTTCAAGTGGTAATAATAACAATAATAGTTATTGTTATTAGTAGTAGTAGTAGTAATTAGTAATGAGTAATTGTAGTTAGTAATTAGTAATTAGTAACTAGTAGTAATTAGTAATTAGTAACTAGTAATTAGTAACTAGTAGTAGCAGTAGTAGTAGTAGTAGTAGTCGTAGTAGTAGTAGTCGTAGTAGTAGTAGTAGTAGTAGTAGTAGTAGTAGGAGTAGTAGTAGTAGTAGTAGTAGTAGGTGTGTGTGTAGGTATAGGTGTAGGTATAGGTGTAGGTGTAGGTGTAAGTAGTGGTAGTAGTAGTAGTAGTCGTAGTCGTAGTCGTAGCAGTAGCAGTAGCAGTAGCAGTAGCGGCAGCAGTAGTAGTAGTAGTAGTAGTAATAGTAGTCGTTGTGGTAGTCGTAGTAGTAGTAGTAGTAGTAGGTGCAGTTGCAGTTGCAGTTTTCCGTCGTCGTCTAGTCACCCTGCCATGGGCCGAGCAGTGAGCTGCGAGAATCATGCGTCAATACTTCTTTCAATCCCATCGCGTATGGTCCGTCTCGAAACACGGACACGCCAAAGCCCCAAGACACAGGTGGCGAAAACATCTCAATGGTTGGTGGTGCCATTCCCCGCAAAGCTCAGCATTTTGCAGGACTCTCCAAGCTCCGCAAGCAGCACAGTGACCCTTTTGGCCGCTGTGGCGTCTGGCTGAGTCAAAAGGATTTGGCCGGAAAAACGGTTGCTGGGGAGCAAAACAGGAGGATAGGCAGGTGAGAACGGGTGGGTCCGAAAAAATAATCAGCGAAGTGGAGTTCCTAAAGCAGTAATCACTGACAGGTTTCTACACCGATTCTACACCTATACATCTTAAGTCTAGGGCCAGGATTGGGTGCACAGACACCATCCCGTCACACCACTTTTAACAGTCCGGCTGAAGAGCCAAAACGGACAGTGGAGTTTCTGTTTGAGTTTTGTTCAGCTTTTGTGTGCGAGCGACGCATTTGCTTATGGCAGTGAGTCCTGGCATTGATGTTGCTATCTATATGATGTCCAGGTGCTGTCGCGCGGCATGCGTGGCTGCACCGATGGTCGGCGCTTGTGCAACAGAACAAGCGCATTCTGGGATGACCTGCACTTTGCAGCCTCCAATCATGGCTCATATCACTCTATATTTGACCAATGTTCTCACTGAGTGGCAGCCTCGCCATGCCAGTGTGCTTAAGTCATTTAGTCAGGCAAAGACGGCGTCTTCATATCAGATTAATCGCAGGAGCCACCCAGACCTGATTCTCCGTTCGTTGAAAAGGAGGGTTTATAGGGAGTGGATGCCCTCACATGGCAACTGGTCGATTGTAATTAGTGGGGAGGGTCTTGCGGACTAGTGGCGTCAACCCCAGCAATTCCAAAGTGTTACCACCTTTTCCCCTCACATCAATTGGCATCTCCTCTTTGTAGTGGTCGCCTGCATCGGGGGATTCCTGTTGCGCGTGTAACTCCGTGAGGCTCAAACACAGCATTCAGACCCAATCCATGCGTGGGAAAGAACAAGAGCAAGAACCGCTGAACGGAGAGTAGGCATGAAAAGGGTTAACTGTGATGTATAGCAGTGTTGAGTCTAGGCTTGGGTGCGCAGACATCATCGCATCACATCACGCCAGTTTGAACATCTCAGGACAGTGGAGTTCCTGCTAGTTTGTGTGTTTGCGCCACTGGCCGTTTTTCACCTCTTGTCTCAGAGTCTGTCGCGCAGAGGAGAGAGTGCAGATTAGGCTCAAACGAAATTTACTGTGCTAACGCGCAATCGCTGAGCGACAGCGTTAAGATCAAATCGATGTGCGAACGAAAGGTAGAACGTGCGCCTTTGAAGGGAGAGTAGCAAGTAAAATTATTAACTGTGATGGAAGCAGCAAATGTGGTGGGAAAAGTTTGAACTTGGTTCTTTGCCCATGTCGGTGACTTGAGTCTTCTTTTGCGGCTCATTTGGCTCAGAGTTGGGGAGTCGTATGGGGAGGAAGAACGAGACGGGGGTTGCATGTCCAGCCAACCTACACCTCCACTCGGCTAACAAAGCAATTCAGGCTTTTTGCCCCCCCCCACAAATGTATTTCACAAGCTCATCGCGAGCTGATCACAGCCAACTTTAGACTTTCCAGCCAACAGTCAGCCTTGGACCCGCTGTTAACTCTGCTTGGGGGAGTATCACTTAGCTAGGTAAGTGATGCAGGCCCCTCAGTAAACGGCCGCTTTTTCAGGACCCGCATGGACCAAGAAATGAAGCCAGCAAAGTTTGCAGTTGGTTTGGCGATTCCAACACTCTTGAGTTGATGTGAGACATCATCTTGTTCTGGGTGCAGTACAACGTGGATCTCTGATTGGAACAACAAATTGGCAGGACGCAGTTGATCGTCGCCCCCTGCGACGCAGGACTCTGCACACCGAAGGCGTGAGCGAACGCTCAACACGGAGATACCTTTTTTGGGCGGTTGGACTTGCAAAGTCCAAAAAATTATCAGATGGGCAAGATTTCTTGTTTTTGATACGACTTTGAATATGGCCTACTAGATTGGACTCCAAATTGCATCGTAGGTCTGGAGTTCAAGCATTTGTCCACTTTCATCCTCTCGAGTTCAGGATCTGATGCGTCTCGGGACATGGCTCTGATGGACTCACACGCGGTCAGGATGCGTATAGATCGAAGGGATGCGACTCAAAATCGCGTAAGATGTTCAGGTGGCCAGGATGGATTTCAGAACTCAGATCCCCTCAAACTATTCACATGTTTTGCAAGGGCCTGCCCAGATGCAAATAATTTGGCCGTTGAAGGATGGTGGACATCACTGAAGATGAGGCGGTTCTACATCTTAAGAAAATCTTAGGTGACAATCTCAGTGCTTTGTCACCACTTATGCAGCAGGATCAGCAAACTATGCAGGCCTCCTCGGCTTGAAAACTCACTTTCAAATCCATGAACCCAAGCTCTACTGCGTGCTTGTCACTAGTAGATACTTATATTACTTATGTTTACAATTGTTTACTTACCTACTTATCTCACTCACTTCCATACCCCCAAGAGAGGCCACTCAATTTCTCTATTTCCTGTTGGAAACTTGTGTTTGTTGAGGTTGAACACTTTCTCTCCTTAGGTGAGCTGGAGCCGGGCGAGCTGGCACCCTCGCCCTTGCCAGTGAAGGCAGCGCCTCCGGCTCGGGTGTCCCAGATGTGTGGAACGCTTTCAAACAACATACAAAGAGTCCTTCCGTTTGATCCCTTTGACCAGGGGCTTTCAAACTCCAGAGTACTTCCCCATGCGTCTTGTTTCAGCTGCAAATCGCCATGTCAAAGTTCCTTGACTCATTGGCCAGGTTCATGAAAGAGATCGCACAAGCCAGCATTTATTTTGTCCAGGCACCCATGCCGAAGCAGGCTGCGCCGCCACAGGCGCCAGGGCTGCCGGGGCCACCAGGCCCATGCGGCGCATGCGGTATGAGGCGCGCCTTCCTTTGAATGGCTGGCTAGCCCCTAGTAGCGTCCGATCGCTCCTAGTAGCGATGCCAGGAGCCCCTAGTAGCGTCCTTGCTCCTAGTAGTAAGGCCAGGAGCCCCTTGTTGATTTCTGGCCAACGGCTGATGCTGGCCGCAGCACCGCTGCAGGCCGCCAACGCTAGGTGGTCTTCCAGGTATGCCTGGCTTGCCAGGCTGCGTGTGCTGATTTGTGCTAGTTCAATAGTTCCGCTTTCTTTTCTTCAGCTATTTGTCTCAAAACCGACAGGGGCACCACAGATGCGGCCGCCTTTACCAGGCAATCAGAGCGATTCTTTTTTTGTTTGCTCGGTCCGTCAAGTCATTTTCGCTGACTCGTAGCATGGAGTTTTCATGGTTCCGAGTAATTACATACCTATTTTCCTAAAAATCTAGGAACCAAATCATTAGCGCGAGAGTTTCTTCAAGGAAGCTCCCCCCCGCCCAGGCGGGAGGAGCTTCCTTGAAGAAGCGTGAGCTATCCTGCATCCTACCCAGAAGCCGACTAGTAGCTTGTCCCCTTCTTAGTGATATTAAGCAGGCGCCTACTTATACAATTAAGTAGGAGCGGGCTAAAGGAAAAAATCATATTATTGTAGATCCTGTGGAATCCTGTCTTTAAATCAAGCTTACTGAGTACTGTCATCCTTTGAAAATCACTGTTTTCGAGCCTTTCCCGGAGCACCACCAACAGGACGGAGTGCCGAGGTATCAAAATACAAGGGTTCAGTCAACGAGGCATTTGCATAGGGTGCACTTCGCCTTGTAGCACAAGCCTTTTGGTGAACAGTGCAGGGGGTCGAATCTTGCGACTGGCGCGAGGAGCTCCTGGTCCGCCTCCCAATCAACCTCAGGTGTGGGTCGGGAGTTGGGTGTTCATGCCGCAAGAGCTGCTTGGATTTGCCACACATTCCGCACAGTCTGAATATGTCGTGAGCATCAACCTAGGAGAATGTTGGAGAAACACGAAGGTCAAGATTTGGCATTCCTGCAGCCTCGCCAGGCTCCGTTCGAAATAGCACAGGCCAAGGTTGGCCTGGTGGGCAAAGGTGAGCCTGACACAGAGCCAAATGAAGGGGAAAGATGTCACATGACATGAGTTGGCAAATCTTGCACATTTGCCATGAAATGAGTTGCACTCCTTGCAGTTCTGAATAGAATAGACTGAGACCTTTGAGAAGGGCATGTGTCAGACGTGTGTGGATGTGTGGATGTGTGTGTGTGTGTAACCCTTGGAATCATAGGGATCCTTTTGGATTTGTTC